AAAGGTCTGGGGAGGTAGCTTGGTGGTTAAGCACCCCAGGGATCAATCCCCAAAAACAACAAAAGAAAAAGTGAGATTAAATAAATATTCATTTAATATATATATTCACTTAATATATTTAAATATGTGTGTGTGTGTGTGCATGTGTGTGTGAAAATTTTCCTTGCCATTTTGAGAATATGTTCCTCTTAGGATCAACAACCTGTGCTTCCCATATGGTGGCCATCACTGGGTTCTATGGGACAATACTTTTCATGTATTTGTGTGTGTGTGTAAATAATGAACAAATAAATTGTTTATCCATACAGATCTAAGAGACTCAATTGTGTCTGGTGAGTTTGTGCTTCTGAGATTTGGAAAAGACTGGATGAAAAGCAATTAAGTATTGAATCATTTAAAGGTTTGCCAATCAAAATAAAGATTTTAAATTATACACTTAAAAATATAGCATGTAACAGAGAAGGTGACTTTTGTATCTTTCCATTTTTTCCCATTAAAGACAAACAACAAAATAAATGGCTTCTGTAAATCTCACCCAAGTGACTGAATTCATTCTGATGGGAGTCTCAGACCGCCCAGAGCTGCAGATTACCCTCTTCCTGCTCTTCTTGGTCATCTACGGGCTCACTGTGACAGGGAATCTGGGCATCACCCTCACCAGTGCTGATTCTCGGCTTCAGACCCCTATGTACTTCTTTCTCAGACATCTGGCTGTCATCAATCTTGGCAACTCTACTGTCATTGCCCCTAAAATGCTGGTCAACTTTTTAGTAAGTAAGAAAACCACCTCATACTATGAATGTGCCACACAACTGGGAGGATTTCTGGTTTTCATTGTAGCAGAGATCTTCATGCTGGCCGTGATGCCCTATGAGTGCTATGTGGCCATTTGCAACCCCCTGCTCTACATGGTGGTGGTATTTCGACGGATCTGCCTTCTGCTGGTGTCCCTCACCTACTTCTATGGCTTTTGTACAGCTATTGTCGTGACACCATGTGTGTTCTCTGTGTCTTACTGCTCATCCAACATAATCAACCATTTTTACTGTGACAATGTCCCTTTGTTAGCACTGTCCTGCTCTGATACCTACATTCCAGAAACAGTGGTGTTCATCTTTTCAGGGACAAATTTGTTTTTCTCCATGACCATAGTTCTGATATCCTACTTCAACATTGTCCTTGCCATTTTGAGAATACGCTCTTCTGAGGGTCGACAAAAAGCCTTTTCCACCTGTGCTTCCCACATGGTGGCCGTCACTGTGTTCTATGGGACGCTCCTTTTCATGTATTTGCAACCAAGGACCAACCACTCATTGAACACTGACAAAATGGCTTCAGTTTTCTACACACTAGTGATACCAATGTTAAACCCTGTAATTTATAGTCTAAGGAACAAAGATGTAAAAGATGTTTTGAAGGGATTCCTACATGGTCCATGCAAATAGTTCAAACCAATGTAAATTTAGAACTATGACTAACTTACTTGTTTTTGTTTCCTCCAAAAAAACACTGCTCTTTAAGCAACTTGCAGTACATGATTAGAAACTCCATTTATCTCAGTAAGAAAATTTTAAATTGTCCTCATCCCATCGTTAATAACCCAAACAGGAAAAAAAGTATGCATGTAATAGATATTAATTATAAATGAAGGGAATTTTAAATTAAATGTGAAATTCTAAAGAGGTCTTATAATTTCTACATAAGTAAGAGATAGGCTGATTGTAGGGGATAGAGGTCAGTGACAATAATTTCTTGGAAAAGAGACAAATCTGAGATTACCCTCTTTGCCAGAGAAACCTTTACACAATTACTAAAGATAATATTTTACTTTTGCAGAATTTTCTTCATCAAGTTCTCAATTTTTTAGGAACCATTTTATCTTGTTTTTAATAATAAATGTATGTCACAGAAAAACTACATTTTTAGCAAAAGATATCGACTAACCAAAAAGTATTTAGTACACATGGAAAAGAACATGTGAAAAAATAGACTAAAATAAGTCAACATAAGCATATTCTTCTTTTACTCCTCTCACTTGGTATGTGTACAAAAAAACAAAACTCTGTCATTCATCCAAAAAATGTATAACTAATTTTTCTACCTCATGTAAAAGTTATTATATTGCTAAGAGCCAAGTATATGATGCATGGCATTTTTGGTGGAAAGGTGAAGCCAGCTACCCATTGAGATGATATGATTATGTTAAGATTTGCATTCATATGGATATTGGACTCCTGCTGTTCACCTAGGCCAGCTATGGGACTCCTGGAGAGTTCCCATTGGTTGGGGAAGTACAGTAGGAGGGAGTTCCGGGGGAGGAGCTCTCTCTGCGGTCCGGGAGGAGGCCGCGTGGGTGGAAAAAATCTTCCCGGGCGGTATTGGACATTGGCGGCAGTTTCAAAAAATAAACTTTGTTCCTGCTTGAGTGGCTCGTGATTTTGTGCCCAGCCAGACTGCAGCAACTGGCGGCCCGCACGGGGAACGCCTGAAGCTTGGAGGTGAGTAAAATTGCTCGCCCCTGAGGGAAGGCAACAAAATGGGTGACCATTTCAAAAAACAATGTGTTCTCGTTTTGATTTATCTTGTTTTTGTTTCAAGCTGCCTATCCCTAGAATTTTCTCAGGCAAACTGGGAAAAATGGTTGGCTCAAGGTTTGAAGTTGTTCGGCCCTGAGAAAGAGAAAATTGATACAACTATTCTTTGTTCGGTTTTTGTTTCATTCTGTTTCGGTTTTGTTTTATGCTATCTTATTGGGTTGCATTACCTTTATAGTAGATTAGAAACTAGTAAAAAACAAACCGAAAGACTATTAAGTAAATTGTTAGAGGTCCAGACTATGGTAGAAAACATGTTAGGTCAAGCGAAAGAGAAGGTCTCTCAAGCTAGTCAGACAGAGGAAGATTTGAAGAAAGAAAGCTTAGAGGAAAAACAACCATCAGGCGGGGAATTACAACAGGAGGCTGCTACTAACCCCGTTCTATCACCAGAGGGCGTAATTCAACCAACAGCTCCATTTACAGCTGAGTGGCCCTCAACTCCCGTAGTTGATGGACGGAATCCTGAGGCAGGACCCCAAAGATTAGCATGCCCTGTACTTGAGCAGGCAGGAGGGCAACAAATTCACCGTTCTTTAGATTTCAAAACAGTGAAGCAATTAAAGGAGGCTGTAACAACCTACGGGCCGCAAGCACCCTTCACTGTGAGCATGGTCGAATCCATTACCAACTTAGACATGACACCAGCAGATTGGGCTAACATGTGTCGATCTGTGCTAAATGGAGAACAATATTTGTTATGGAAGGTTGCCAATGAGGAATTTTGCATGGAGACAGCTAGGCGAAATGCAGCAGCCGGTTACCCTCAAAGAAATCTAGATATGTTATTAGGAAAAGGACCTTATGAGGGTCAACGGCAACAAATTGAATATGATCCTGGCGTATATGCACAAATTGCTGTAGATGCAATTAAGGCATGGAAAACTTTACAGGGGCATGGAGATTTACAAGGACAATTATCTAAGGTAATACAAGGAGCTAATGAACCTTACGCTGAATTTGTAGATAGGCTTATTCAGACAGCATCTAGAGTATTTGGAGATACAGAACAGGCAATGCCATTTATAAAACAACTGGCTTATGACCAAGCAAATCGTTGCTGCAGAGAGGTCATCAGACCATGGAAACATGAAGATTTAAACACATATATTAAATTATGTAGAGACATTAATGAACAAGGGCAAGTCTTAGCAGCAGTACAACAGGCTTTAGATGCCAGGCCAAAAACATGCTATAATTGTGATCAAACAGGACATTTTAAAAGGAGTTGCCCCATAGGAGGAGGGTTTAACAAGGCTAGGTATCAAAGGAATAGAATACCGGGTATTTGCCCACGATGCTGTAGAGGGAAACATTGGGCTAATGAATGCCGTTCTCAAACCACCATAGAGGGTATTCGGTTATCAAAAAACAGACAAGGACCAAGTGTTTACCCACGATATCGTGGAGAAAGACATCAGGCTCCATTGCCAAAAAACGGACTGGAGGGCCCAATGCTCCGGGGCCCAAAACCACAAATATACGGGGCAATGGAGGAACCCAGTAACACCATCAAGGTAGTGCCCAGGACGCATTATCCATTAAATCCCTCATCAGACAAACTAGAGGGAGCGCAGGGTTGGACATCTGCGCCTCTGCCAGAGCAGTACTAACTCCAGAGATGGGAGTTCAAATCATTCCCACAGGAGTAAAAGGACCTCTTCCCCAAGGAACAGTAGGCTTATTATTGGGACGCAGTTCTTCAACACTAAAAGGACTTATGATAAGTCCTGGGGTAATTGATCCCGATTATGAAGGTGAAATAAAAATTATAGCTAGTTCTCCAAGAGGTATATCAGTAATTTCACCAGGAGATAGAATAGCACAGTTATTAATAATACCCAGCCTACATGATAAATTTTCCAGTCGTGCTGTAGAAAGAGGTTCCAGGGGATTAGGCTCCACAGGTGTAGATTGGGCTATGCTGTCTTTAAATCTAGATTCTCGCCCAATGCTAAAACTAAATATTCAAGGACATGACTTTAATGGGCTACTTGATACAGGTGCAGACCTTAGCATCATATCTCATCAAGAATGGCCGAAACATTGGCCATTACAACAAGCCACTCAAATGCTTCGAGGCCTAAGAGTGGCAACTAATCCCCATAGAAGTGCAATGGTATTAGATTGGAAGGATCCTGAAGGATGTGAAGGAACTATACAGCCCTATGTATTGGATCATCTTCCTATAAATTTATGGGGACGAGATGGCCTAGATCAATTAGGTTTGACATTAACAAATAACATCAATCCTAATGCGCCCACTACTAGGGCTAGACAAGGCTTTAGGAAAGAAGAAAGATTAAGAGAACAAGAACAAGGTATGACAGCACCAATTCAAATAGATCAAGAAACAAATAGACATGGATTGGGTTTTCAGAAAGGGCCACTGTGACAATCAAAATTACTTGGAAATCAGAAAGACCAGTGTGGGTTCCTCAGTGGCCTCTGACTAAAGAAAAGATACAAATAGCCCATGACCTGGTCAAACAACAATTAGCGGAGGGACATATACAACCTTCTGTATCTCCCCATAATACTCCCATTTTTGTCATTAAAAAGAAATCTGGTAAATGGAGATTATTGCAAGATTTAAGAGCCATTAATAATGAGATGGTTATTATGGGACCTGCTCAATCAGGGATTCCCCAATTGTCTGCTTTACCAAAAACCTGGTATGTTTTAGCTATAGATATTAAGGATTGTTTTTTTTTTCAATTCCAATTCATCCCGAGGATAGTCCACATTTTGCATTTACTATCCCTGCACTAAATCATGAAGGTCCTGATCAGAGATATGAATGGAAAGTACTCCCTCAAGGGATGGCTAATAGTCCAACTATGTGTCAAATTTATGTTAACAAAGCAATCCAGCCACTTAGAAATCAAAATCCTGAACTACAAATATTTCACTATATGGATGATGTGTTATTGGCACATAAAGATAAAAACACATTGCTAGAATGTTATGGCACACTTACAAATTTATTAAAAAATTATAATCTAGAGATAGCAATAGATAAAGTACAATTAAATCTTCCAATTAATTATTTAGGGGTTTTATTATCCTCAACCATGGTCCATCCACCCAAAATTCAAATACGAGTAGATCAACTCAAATCACTTAACGACTTTCAAAAGTTATTAGGAGACATAAATTGGATAAGGCCTTATTTAGGTATACCAACAGGAGAGTTGGGACCTTTATTTGATATCCTAAAAGGTCCATCAGATCCAAATTCACCCCGAATGTTAACGCCTGAAGCAAGAAAGGCATTAAAAATCATTGAAACATATATGGAAAATATGCATTTGGATAGAATTGATATAAGTTTGCCTTTATTATTTATTGTACTGCCAACAAAAAATATTCCTACAGGAGTATTCTGGCAAGAAGGTCCATTATTGTGGATACATTTATCTTATTCTCCTAACACTATTCTTACTAGATATCCTGAGGCTGTAGGACAATTAATACTCAAAGGAATAAAAGCAGCCAAGGGAGTGTTTGGGATTTCTCCCAATAAAATTATTACTCCATATACTATAGATCAAATTGATGAGTTAGCTAATGAGTTAAATACTTGGGCAATAATCATGTGTAAATCTAATGTTTCATTTGATAATCACTTACCGTCTAATCCTTTGTTGTCTTTTTGGTCTAAACATCCTGTAGTTTTTCCAAAGATGACAAAAAAAAAACCTATCATGAATGCTCCAAATATATTCACTGATGGGTCAAATAATGGTACAGCAGCAGTAGTTACCCCTGATCAAACTTTTACATTTTTAGTACCCAAACAATCAGCTCAAAAGGTAGAGCTTAATGCAGTATTACAAGCTTTTGTGATGTTTAAAGATTCTGTATTTAATTTATTTTCTGATAGTCAGTATGTAGTTAATGCTATAGTATCCCTTGAAGATGCTGGTAGGATTTCCCCTTCTTCTACTGTTTTCTCTTTGTTTTCCACTATACAAAGTCTAATCTGGGACAGAAAAGATCCATTCTTTATAGGACATATCAGGGCACATACAGGATTGCCTGGAGCCCTTAGTTTGGGCAATGAGTTAGCAGATAAATCTACACATGACATACATATTTTCTCCACAATAGAAGAAGCTATAAATTTTAATAAAAGGTTCCATGTCAATGCTAATACTTTACAAAAGCGTTTTAAAATAACTAAAGAACAAGCCTGACATATAATAAAACAATGTCAAAATTGTGTGACATTTTTACCACAAGTTAATCTTGGAGTCAATCCTAGAGGACTGATACCTAACCATATTTGGCAGATGGACGTCACACACTTGCCAGAATTTGGAAAATTAAAATATTTACATGTTACAGTTGATACTTCTTCTGGATTTCTGATGGGCTCCCTTCATGCCGGAGGAAAACTAAAGATGTTATAGCTCATTGCTTACAAAATTTTGCCACTGTGGGCGTTCCAAAACAGTTAAAAACCGATAATGGTCCTGGTTATGCGTCCACCTCTTTTAAACAATTTTGCTCATCATTTGGCATTACTCACATAACAGGAATTCCATACAATCCACAAGGACAAGGCATAATTGAAAGAGCTCATCAAACTATTAAAATGTACTTATTAAAACAAAAGGAGGGAATTGGAAAGGGGTTTATATCCCCCAAAGATAAACTTAAAATAACCCTTTTTACTCTAAACTTTTTAAATTTGGATTCATCAGGGCTTAGTGCTGTGGAAAGACATTTGTATCCAAAAAATGTACATAAGCCTAAGGTACTTTGGAAAGATATTCTAACAGGACAATGGAAAGGTCCTAACCTAGTGATAGTCTGGAGTCGGGGCTCTGTTTGTGTTTTTCCACAGGAAGAACAGCAGCCGATTTGGATTCCAGAGAGACTAACTAAAACAATTTCTACAGACCAAAAGGAAGATGATTCGACTCAAATCCATAACAGCTGATATCCAGATCTCCAGCTTGGCTATTCTTACATCTGCGACAGTGATTAACCAGGATGCTTTTTTCAATATCTATTTTATTATTGCTTTTTCCCACATCATAAAGTTCTATTTTATTTTTGAGCTCATACAGACCTAGGTTAATGTTTTTTCTGATCAGTTTTATTTTTTGACTGTGGAGTTTTTGAACATTGCAATGGAGATTTCACCTAGGTAAAGCTACAAGTCCTTTACTATTGTCTTATGTGTTATATGTTACATGTGCACACTTCTGTTTTGTGTTGTATGTCTGTATGTGCATATGTCCATATATCACATATGAGGAGCGCTCATGCACATGGATCCAAAACATTTTTTTTTTTATTATTCATGTGATTTTAATAGTTTAATTTAATTTGGGTAAACAGCTGTTGAGGATTGTTTTAATATATGAACAAATAGAAGGTTAACAGATCTGTTTGTTTACTTTCACCTTTCCTTTTCATTATATTTAATAATTCTGTTCAGGATAATGTAAATTGTTCTAAATATTGTTTTCTTAGTACCTGTTGAAATGTTACATATTTTTTTTTTTTAGCATCATTGTCAAAATTCCTATTTTCATCCCAGTGCCGGTGAAGACAAAGATAAAACCAAACTACAACTTCTTCGAGAGTTATCACAACAAACCGTGTAAACTGATACATCAATGATTTATAACTCAACAAGTAATGCTCAATCAATGAGTCGATTTATTTTGGAAGGATATGGACATATTGATAGATTCCTCTGCTTTGAACTGCTTACAAAACTTGCCTGGACTATGTATAACTTGTATGCTTTATTTTGGGAGGATATGGACATATTGATAGATTCCTCTGCTTTGAACTGCTTACAGAACTTGCCTGGACTATGTATCACTTGTATGCTTTGTGATCTATTTGTTGATGCAGCGAATTATGGTAGTGCTAGCGTATCTTTGCTGATGTGTCACCAGTGATGCAATTTTTCCTAGGAGCCATTAATTGACTTGGTGTCATGACATTTCTGTATCCTCCTCCCTTCTACTAGTGATGGTCTAATTTTGGGGGCCAACAGAGGTGAGGCAAAGAACCTCACCCCCGCACTGGTACATAGGCCTATCCACAAGTATGGCTATATGCTGGACCGGTAGTCAGTGACGGGTATGATCCAATTGCAGTGGTATCAACCTAAGACAGGAGGCTAACGCCTAAAAGTCAGTTTTCCGATGACGGGTAAGAACCATATGTTGAATTGGACAAACCTAACAGGCATGGTCCCTAGCCAGATTGCTTGTTACTTAAACAGAAGGGGGGAGATGCTAAGAGCCAAGTATATGATGCATGGCATTTTTGGTGGAAAGGTGAAGCCAGCTACCCATTGAGATGATATGATTATGTTAAGATTTGCATTCATATGGATATTGGACTCCTGCTGTTCACCTAGGCCGGCTACGGGACTCCTGGAGAGTTCCCATTAGTTGGGGAAGTACAGTAGGAGGGAGGTCCCGGAGGAGGCCACATGGGTGGAAAAAATTGGCGGCAGTTTCAAAAAATAAACTTTGTTCCTGCTTGAGTGGCTCATGATTTTGTGCCCAGCCAGACTGCGGCATTATATTATCTTTTTTATGAAGCCATAACATTTAATATTATTTCTTTTAGTATTTTCTTTTAGTGTAATATGGAGTGAAATAAAACTATGCCCTCCCTCATAAAAGACATTGTTGTATATTTATGCAAGTGTCACATATTCCCAAGAGCCTTCCTGATCAAAAAAAAAAAAAAATTAATAGTTGCCAGGTGGCAAATCTTTGTACGTGTAAAATGCTATCAATATATAATAAGTGAAGGAGAAAGATCTAGAAACATGAGGTAAATGCATTAACTGGAAAGAAATTGCATTTATGATATTTTTATGAAAATCAGAAATAAACCAAATCTAGGAACTCTGGGACTCTGATCAATGAATTATCATCTGAATCTAATATTAAAGTTGCAGAAGAAATGAAAAAAAAAAATTCACACACTAATAGCTATTTCTAGTCTCAAGTGACACCATTAGAATTAGCTAGATCTTTTTAGCTGTAAACACTTTTATTTATTTTTGTGTTTTGGGGAGACAGAAGTCTGCTCCTTCAGAAAGCTCAAAGGGATTGTTTACAAGGTTTTTCATCTTCTTGAGGTTTCCCCTTGGTCTGTGCTCCACTTCCAGCCAGCAATTATATCGCTGTTTCTATGGCCATGTATCCTCTGATCCTCATGGTCTTTCTCTTGTGATTATGATTGAGCCAAAAAGGTGATTCATGAGACCCTGCCAATCTCCCAATCTTTAGTGCAATCACATCATCAAATTTCTTTTTCTATTCAAGGTAACATATTCACAGGTTCTGTGAATCAAGACATGGAATTTTTTGATGGGAGTATTATTCTCTACACAATGTCTCATTTGGCGTATTTTATGAAACTGGACAACCTAAAATTTGGTAGTAATCTCATCAACTAATGTTCAATATTGTACCTCACAAGTGTTACATACTATGTACACTTTCTATATTGTTTATTTATTTATTTATTTATTTATTTTTGCCCAAAATCATTACACGGAGCCTTGCTTAAATAACAGATAAACAAAAAATAATTTAATTCAAAGGTTTTGAATGAATGCAAAATCTTAGGCACATGCTCACATATTTTTCATACTCTCATTCAGTTGTGATGAATCCAACTCCATCAACCCAAGCAGATATACCTGCCAATCACAAATATTTAATGAAGCAAGATACGAAAGTAGTTGGTTACCTCTGATCTCCTATCCATCAAGGGGAGATTATACCATTAATTCCCCTGATCTTTTAGGTTGTGCCTGGTGCCCAGGAGGTTCCATAGCATATCCTGTGTGAGTGCTAACAGTAAACATTGTTTTGAGGGGTCTAGAGGAGATAGGAGATGTAAGATATAGTCATGAAGTGAAGCATTGTCTGTGCGTACTCAGGAAATTTAGGGAGTACTTGACAAGGAATTCATAGAGGTCCTTCACACTATATCTGTAGGAAATCAATAGCTCTCACCCAACACCATAATAAAGGAATGCCCTGTACAAGAAAGCATTACAAGTGTATCAATCTCAGGTGGGGCAAACATCAAAGTCCCTCAGGAACTTAATTTTAACACAAGCCATCAAGTGTCTACAAATTCAGAAAAGTAGTGAATTCCCTTTTACAAATTTAAACCCAAATATTGACTAGAGGACCACATTATTTTTTAAGGAATCCATTTTGTTTTGAAGGAGTATAAACATATATCTCAATACTTTCTTTAAGTCCAAGACTTTCTAGGTTTAATGTATTTTCCACTACATTAAAAACCCCCAAAATGTGATTTTAATTGACCTTTTTTCTTGCAGTTCAAAAAAGTTGAGGAATTTTAATGTCTCCAGTGAAGATTTTTCTTTCCTTTTAAGTTTGATTTGAAAAACTGATGCTATTTCCCTAGAAATCTTTATGCTTTCCCTCATGTAGTCTACAATGTGGTAAGCCATACCAGTCCTGAAATAATTCATAGGGAGGTATTTCTGGACAATGTAATAGGTAAAGGTGTTTTGGATCTGAACCTAAATGCACAGATAATAAAACTAAATCTGAAAAATGGGACTACATCAAACTAAAAAGCTCTGTAGAACAAAGGAAGCAATATACAGAGCAATAAAACAACCTATAGGATAGGAGAAATGTTTTCAAGGTATTTCTCTGCAAGGGTTAATGTTCTAGATATATAAGAAACTCAACCAATAAAGAGCAGAAACATGAATAACCCAATGAAAAAAAGTTGGCCAAAGATCTGCATAGATAATTCTCAGCAGAAGACACACAGATGGCTAATAGATATATAGAAATATGTTCAATGCCATTAATTATTAGAAAAATCAAAATAAAAATCACAATGAGATATAACCTCATCTTAGTGAGAATGGTTATTATCAAAAGGACAAACATAATTATCAACTGCTGGTGGACCTGTGGAGAAAGACCGTTCCCATATACTGCTGATGGTAATGCAAATTAGTTGAGCCTTTGTGGAGGACAGTGTGGAGACTCCTCACAAAATCAAAAAGAAACTCTCATGGGATCCAGAAATCCTACTACCTGTTATATACACAGGAGAAGAGAAACCCACATATTGAAAAGACACCTGTACCCTGCTGTTTACTAGAGCAGCAATCACAATAATCAGGATATGGAATCTACTGAAATGCCCATCAACAATTGAAGTGATAGAGAAAATGTAGTTACAATGAGTAAATTCTATTCAGCCATAACAAAGCTTGGCATCCTATGACTGGTGGCAGTATAGTCAGTCCTGGGACATCATGTTAAATGAAAGAAGCAAGGCACCAAAATTAAACACTGCATGCTATCACTCATAAGAGAAGTCTAAAAATTTTGATTTCACAGAGATTGCTTGTTAGGAGTGGTGACTGAATCATGATCCTTGAGCTGTTTGGCTACAGGAACGATGCTGCTTCTGGGAACTTTCAGTGCCATGGTACCAATAAGACTGCCCAGTTGCTAAGGTGATGCCCAGCTTAAAATGAGGTTCCCTGCCTTCCATGGAATTATAAGTTCTTGACCTTAAGTTCAGATGCCAGCTTGAGAAAATTATGGGTGCAGGCTGATAATTATAATTGGGCTGCACAGAATTTTCTCCTTCACTCCAAGCGCTTTGTAGAAACTTTCCCACAATAAGTCATTTTAATGATAAACCTTTATAATAAACATGCTGAGCTGGCTTTTGTTCACTATTGCCTGCCAGGGTTTGTGAGCCACCCGACCCCAGCTTTTTCTCTCTTTGTGGTTCTGTTTATCTTTTCTTCATCCCCTCATTGCCCCTCATCAGGTTACCTGAATTAACAGCCATTCAAGTTGTGGGAGTTGTTGCCCCTACAGGGACTGGACACAGGGGAACTTCTTCAAGTTGTCAGATGGGTGGGATACTCCTGAGGATGTGCATCAGGTAAAAAAGGTGAGGAGCAAGTTTATAGCTTGGTGTAA